TTAGTTTCGGGATCATTTTAGTGTTAGAGTTATGTTAGCCTTGACCCGTAATCAACCCTGCGGCCCCTCCAACACTAGTTGCAGACAGCGGTTGTTAGATCATGCAACACTGTAACTACTACTATATTCAAGATATGATTCGTCGAGTTTATACAATTCAGTGTTTCAATTCGGGTAAACTATCTATCAAACAATTACAAAATCAACCTCAAAATTACAATTATATGCCAATCACAGACAGGCATACATAACACTCGTAAGTTGTTAATCGGACAATCATCCAACAGTCAATTTAAAAGTATCTTAGTTGGTCACCTGTGACACGCATAGCACAAACTTTGGTGACTAACCTTCTATTACAATTTTTCAGTGTACCACATGGCAACACCACTACTACTGGATTGTACCACATGGCAACACTACTATTGAATTGAACTAGCATTTTCACCAAATGTACTAGAATATTTTGGTTCTATCTCTTTCACTCTACTCAAAACTGAAATGCATAAAAAAATGACAAAATGATACGCACTCTTTGCACACTGTCAAAGAATCATTGAACACAAAATCAACTTTGTTCAAATCAAAACAAAAAAAAAACTAACCCATCTGGTGGATGATGGCACAAGCTTCCAAGAAAATTCTATTACAGTGAACCACATTATTTAAATGGATTTCTTCGCCAGTAAGTCGTCTGTCACTTCGTTTGTGCGCATAGTCAATTCCCTTACGTTTGACGTTTACACACTACCGCCATCTATTCATCGTACTACCCACCACAGTGTACTCAGCAGATGGTGGTAATGTTTTAGCAACGATGTTTTACAGTAAGAAATATTCAATGTGTTTTGTCTGTTTGTCTGTGTGCCAATACTACGATTCTGATATAAACAACTTTGAAGATAACAAAAGCAACTGTAGAATGAAACCTGACAAATTATCGTCAATCCTCTCATTCTTGGGCAGGGCGTTTTGCAAAAGGGTTCGTTTTTGGTGTCAAACTATTGCCTTGTGCAATTCTAAGCGATGTACCAGAGAAAATCGCCTCCAAACTCCAAAAACACATGCTCGTTCCCGTTTAAGACGCATACAAACTCTTGCAAACAAATATTGTGATTCCTCTGAAGATGTATCTCGTTTCGCATTTCATCTAAGAATCGGACGCCATGACGGGGGTCTTGTTCCTCTTGTAGTATTGCCGGCCGTACTCCGTATAACGATTTTCATACATAGTTTGCGTCAGGGTACCTTGCGGTACGCTCCTTCGGTGGGGACCTCCCACTCGTCGATTCATATTCTTGAGGATACAGGGCCGTCATCTATCGTTTATGGCAGTGTTTTAAATATGGAACCAGCACCGTCACGTCCAGCTGTTCACCAGCGTAGTCTTCCGGATCCAATGATGGTTGCACTAAAGGTGGCCAGAAAGGAGCAAACAGATTCTCAAATGACATTGCACCCCATTATTACAATCGGTCCAAAACAAGGTCTTTGCTTAGCATCCTTGAATGTCAATGGATGCCGAGGCTTGGAGAAACGCGAAGCCATCGATGCTTTACTGATGTCGCAACGTGTGCATATAGCCGTATTGCAAGAGGTGAATCTACAGTGTCAGTGCGTTATAACTTCTAACTTCCGATGGCAAATGAGTGGACCAGCAAATAGTAGAAAGAGGGGCCTAGCAATCTTGATTCGTCATGGAGTCCACGCAGTTTTTCAAAAGAGTATCCTTTCCGGGTCTAACATTCAGCATGCAGAAATTTCGTATAAGGTATCCTTTTTTAAGTTTTGCTTGTTTTCATATATTAATTATAATATTTCCTTATGTAGATGGATGGATCTCTGCATAGATTGGATCTAATAAACGTGCACGGGCCTAACCGAGGAGCCGATAAATTTTTCAGCAAACTCGGAACTGTTGTTAAACATCTGAAAGACTAGAGTCGGTGTATAATGAGTCACGCCAAGAGAAAAACAGTTGAACTCGCATCACGGTTTTCGAAAGATTCCCTTTCTTTTCACTTGGCAACAGAGGACTTCTACATCAACTTCAAATGACTTCTAGCGAGAAAAAAAAATAGCGGCTGTAGTAAATCATTATATCAGTGATTTAGTCAAATTATCTCAACCAAAAATAGTAGAAATTCTCATAAGTTATCATTACCAAACGTATCCCATGACAATTTATTGCTCACTGCGAGTTTATGATCATTTCTTCGATTATATTTTATATTTTATTGCAATACCTTTCGTGGACCTTTCATAGCATCGTAATGTTTGTTTACTCTGCACGATAGGTAGCCGGTTTGACAGCTCAATAGGTAGACTTGGCTTCACTCTTGGCGTGACTCATTATACACCGACTCTATGAAAGACACGCAATACCTTCTCCTAGCAGGCGACTTCAACAGTCATTTATCGTGTATTCGTTTGGATTCAGATGAGGCTCTACTTATAGGGAAGTACGCCGGTCACGAACATTTTAACGAGAATGGCTTGCAGATGCGACTATTTCTTCGTCTACATGAATTGGCAGTGCGTTCTACTCAGCTCAATTCTAATGCAAGTTTTCGATGGACGTGGTCCAATGGAATTCACCGCAGTCAGGTAGATCATCTGCTAACCTCCCTTCGATCCGGTTTGTTTCTTAGGCGTCTACAATGCATGTTGCCAAATACTCTATCCTGTAGCAAGACAACTGTCGGTAGACTGTGGACTATCCTCGCTGTTCGACTTGATCAAGTTTAATAACCTCTAATTGTACTCAACCTGGCCCTTCATCCATAAACGGTTTGGATGATTCCGTGTGCAACATCACCCACGTGCATCCACGGGATAAATGAGAATCTCCTTCCTACAACAGGATCATTCAACCGGTCAATAAACAGGCCATCCAACAGGAGGATGCCTCAATGAATGGGGAGAAGATCCCGCTTTCTATTCACGAAATGTTAAAGACAGGGATTTGGCATTTCCACTCTCCCCATCCATTTTGCTTCTATCGGGTGGACCCTCCCGTACCCAGCATATAATGTTTCATATAATAATAGAATGAATGTTAAGAGAAAAATAAAGGAAATATCTCGCTTGATATGTTGCAAAAGAATCACAAATCTTCACAATGATTTCGAAGAGCTCCGATAGGTATGCTGCCGCTATTTATTCAACCGGTGTTAAAAACAGCACTCTCGCCTTTGCTTCCTCACACAGAAGCGTAAACCCCCATCAACCCCGAAACACACTCTAACTTTTCCAACTAGAGGGATCCCAGCAGAGACAAAAAACGACTGCGTCAATTTCCATCACCAATCACTTGGGACACCACGGCTAAAGTTCACCAGTGCACAGTCTGGAAGATGCAGTGTCGGATCCTCACCGACCGAATTAACTCACGACCAACGCCGAAATCAGAACCAACAACTTCAGCGGTCGAAAACACGATGGCAAGCGCCTTTCGTCCGGGAGGAATGCCAAATATACAGATTATTTCAATATTTTACATACAGATGTTCACTGTTCACTGTACATACAGATTACAGGTTTTTAGCAAATATAGCCTTGCAGTTAGCTACATTTACTGAATGCATCACTCACCACAGTGATTACCTGATCTAAAAATAATACAACCAGCTAACACAACTATCCTTCCCGTGGCAATTGTGGAAGATGATGTAGAGGTAACCTCGGTCTCTAGTAACAACGATTGTCGAACTTCTCCTCCCCAAAGACCGTGAAGACGTGGCCGGCGTCGATACTGATCTATAAATAAAAGGAATCAATGAACTTGTTCATTGAAGGTGGAAATCTTATCCCAAGCTCGAGATGATCTAGCTAATGAGCTAAAAATCTCGCTAATAAAGTTTAAACAAGCTTATCTCAAGCTCCAGCTATGTGGTTCTCTGTGCAATTTTACTGGTTCTGATCAGTAAAGGCCCACGCACATTAGATACGGATCGGTCGCGCTGCGGCAAAGTGACAGCAAAATCTATTGTCTAACTGCCAAATTTACGTCAACGCAACGCAACGGGTGGCCCATAACGGAGTAGCAACTACGACGTGCACGGTCTTGAAAAACCCCAAGAGAAATCCATTGCATTTTTTCAGAAATCCCATGAAGGATCCTCAATCCTCAAGGAATCCTGGAATAGCGGCGCCGAGGCATAAAATCTCTGATCACGCCTTCCTTCGGGAAGGGAAGTAAAGCCGTTGGTCCCCAGTCTATGAGTTGATGTGATGAATCCACCGACATGACACTTAATTCTGACTTATGCCCGGTAAACGGCCGATTTAAATGTGCAGTGATCCAAGCTGTCAAAACCAAAGGATTTTTTGATCCAGATAAAAATAATGTGTCCAGAATAGATCAGACACGAACCGATTCATAACTTTTCATGTAGGTTTGTCGGTGCAGATTGCCTTGCTTAGGCTGTGAACCATTTGCCGAGTTAAATTTAACTCGTAGTTAAAAGTGACATTTCGAAAGTTATTTCTTATGTTCGAAAATCCCCGTGCTGTCGATCGACCGGTTTTCGAGCCACGGTCGTCAAAATTTAACTTCTTGTATGTCAGAAATAACCACGCTCGGATAGCAGGGTTAATCGATAACTTTCCATCTGTCAAATTTTAACCAAAAGTTAAAATAATCCACCAAATGGTTCAGAGCCTTAAACCTCTGCCTAAACACTACTCTATCCGAAAGAGAATGGCTACGTGCTTCATCCTCTCTTTCTGCCTACCAAATGGGAGATTAAAGTGATTAAAGTGTAATCTAGGTTTTCCAAAATCCGGATTAAATCGCATATTATCTTCGATAGAGTTTACGTTGCTATCAACGTTGCTCCCGAAGTCCCGTTGCTTCTCAACGAATTTTTATGTTGCACCCTTTCCGTTCCAAGTCTCTGATTTCATGCTATCTTTTATGTTGAGCTGTGTAGACTTTCGGGCTGTCACCTATTGCATGTGTGTTTGTGTGTGTACTGACAGTCAGGTATCATCGTCAACATTGCCAAGAGGTGGTGCTTATTTACATCGCGTAGCTATAGGTTGAATTTTTAAATCAAATTTTCATTAAAGTGAACAGATCCCGATGGTTTTTGTTTAATGTTCCCGTGAAGTAGTGAAGCCGGTCGTTGTCCGCGCAATGCGTATGTCCATAAACACCCCGGAGGACTGCACAATCAACGAGCAGTTCATCAAGCTGGTTCACGAAACGCCGCTGCTATGGAACTTGCACTTGCCCCTCTATCGGAACCGGGAAATCAAGGAGCAAAAGTGGGCTGATGTCGGGGCCGTGTTCAATCTCAGTGGTAAGAGTTGTACCTAATATGCATTCAAATTAACGATTGTGGGGTTTTGATTTTGGGTGCTACATCTTACAGGCACCGAAGCATACAAGAAGTTTGTTGCCTTGCGGGAAAAGTACAAACGCGAACAGAAGCTACGCGAAAGTAAAAGTATTGCCCAAACGGAATGTTGGCGATTGTACGATAAGCTCAAGTTCCTGGATACGGTTTCGTTTTCCCGGGATCGTCGATGGTGCAAACCTAAGTACGTCATCCGGCGGCAGAATGGGTTTCCAACGACTGCTCATTCGCGGCAGGATTTGACATCGTTAATCAAAACGGAATTTCCCGATCTGCAGACGGTGGGATCCGTGCCGACTTCGCCGAGCTACCAGATGTCCGGGGAACCGTCGGAGAATGAATCCAACGAAGCATACCAGGACAACTCGGATTATTACAATGACTCAACCATGCAGGGACCGAACTCGGAAGAACCTGAAGGAGGCGATTACGCGGAGAAAATCGAGAGTATGCCCGATGTGCATCCGGTGGCTGGAACTTCGTTTCAACAGCAGGATCAACAGCAACAATTTCTGAGTCGCTTGGAGTGTAAAACGAATGCAATTTTGGACGATCACGAAAAGCGAAAGAGCGGAAGTTGGGTACGATGCGAGACTCTTGGGCACCGGGTGGCCCAAACCATGCACACACTGGAAGAGCACGATCCTGATTTGGCACTTAAGTTCGACATAATGTTGAGCGAAGCTATCACTAGTATTAAGAAGGATCAGCTGCAGAGGTTGATGGCCCGGCAGCAACAGCAGCGGGAAGATGAAGAGCAAAGGAAACGTTCCGAGCAGCTGCGGCTACAGCAGCAGCAGCAGCAATTAGTGCAGATGCAGCAAAGGCAACAACAAAATGCCGACAGCGTGGGGCTGGATCAGCAGCACTCACAACTTTGATTGGAAGGTAGGTAATGTTGTGTGTCGGAACTCTATTTCCCACTTTAATGACTGACAGCACTACGGATGAAGTATGAATCTTCTACACGGTAGTTTATTTATTATCTACAATGATTGACCTGCAAGGCAGTGTTTGTGTTGCAGCAAAATCCTGAGCTTTTCATGAATCCTGAACATATTAAAAGTATCTAGGTTAACCGTAGAAGACTGCAATGGATGTGATCCGAACGCTCCTTCCTTGCCAAATAGGTGTTTAATTTTCCAAGTCAAGGTAAACAAGTTGTTTCAAACATATATTGAGCATATTAAAAATGTACTACCTATAACAAATCCTTAACCACAAGATGCGTCGATACATGCAATCGCCAATTCTCCCTTTACAACTTCGATAAATGCTTATTTTCACCGTCAAGACTCAGATGACCATTTAATGGGGCAACGTTCTGATAGTACTTCTGTGCATGCAGTCCCGTATGTTCCGTCCGATGCCAATTTTTCGCCATCTGCCGTAGCTGCTCCGCCGAGAGGTCCTTGTGAGTTTCAAAATCATGCAACGTGATGTAGTCATAGTCCTTCGGATAAAGATCATCGCCCGGCAGCAGAAACACGGCCGCATCCGTACACTTGAACTGAACGGGGCAAAACAGTTCACTTCCCTTGTGATTCCTCTCCTTGGCAAAGCGAACAATTTCGTCGATATCGTACAGGTGAGCCAGTCTGGTCAGTTCGTAGCACTGCGGTGGAGCGAGCCACAGCTTTTCCTCACGATGCGCTTTCAGCAATCCGGCAGGAGTGTCCCACTGGAATGCATAGTTTACATTCTACAATGAACAGCAAAAAACAGATTTATGAAGCCCTTACCATGTATTCATGCACTTCATGGGGTTCTGCATGAACCGCAGGTTTCTCATTCAGTGCCACAAGGTAGAATGCCGTTTCGAACCTTCGCTTTCGGAACATTGCCGGAGTCAACCAGACGGACCATTCGTACATGTTGAGGACGTCCGGAACGATGCCCAGCTTGTTGCACAGCTCCATAAAGGTCGTTTCACTATCGTGGACACCTTTTTGATGAGAGGGAATATCGAAATCTCCCACGGCACTGCTGTAACCTGTTGCGTTCAGCCCTACTTGACCTGGCTTCTGCCCCAATAGCACTCCCAGCTCTTCGAATGCTTCCCTGAGCGCCGCTAGCCGAAGTGAGATGTTCCTGAAAGTCTTTCAAAACCATGCATAACCATTAATCACTAGGGCATTTCCAAAACTCACCTATCTAGCACTTCTGCACTATCATTTTCGAAAATGAACGGTCTCGGACCGGAAACTTCGGTTAAATTTTGCAACAGTTCTCTCGAAACTCCTTTCCGCGAGAAAACTCCATTCCACTGGGGATTTTCATCTTGCTTATCGAACGCTCCACCGGGAAACACAATACTATTGGGCATAAACGACGTCTTCTCGGTTCGCTTGAATACCAGTACCTACAAAGGGGATAACGTTTACTGGGTGATAAGCATTTGATTTACGATTGCCAATTATGTGTCTTAACCGATACAATTACATTCGCTTACCTTATAGTTATACTCGTTTTTGGTAGCCACTCGATTGCCGTCCCGGGCCAGAATCAACAGACTAGCCGAATCTCGCCAATATTTTGCGAATTTTCTCATTATTTAGTGCTAATGTTCAACTGTTTGCTGTCCGATTAAAAGCATTCACGTAACCCACTTCGTAGCCTGTTTCTAATCAGACTCAGTTGAATGAATGAGTATAGAGTAGATAATCAAAACAGCGAGCAAACCTCGGAGCAAACTCTACAAATAATTATTGGGAAACCTACACATACAAATTGTACAGTAGGTAGTAGTAGGGTAGGTAGTTTAAGGTAGCTGGACATGCTTTAAGCATTCTTGATATGCATTGATGTATAATTCGGCTTAACCTAAGATTTTGCTATTTTATTCCAACAAACCAATCCCACCAAGGTGGTCATTCTCTAAAACAGGCATGATAGGACTAGGAACTGTAATTAATAATAATAGAAACTCAAAAGAACTAAAGTTGAAAAGACGCATCTGTGTCACTTGATAAGTTATACATGTAAACCACACACATTCAAGAAATAAAGATCATTTAAAGTCAAGCTATTCTATCTCAAAGGTTAACAAATTTTGTGCAATTATTAGGCGAAAAAACAGGTCATTTGTACACTGTTTGCGCTTTTGTCAAATTTTTAACATACGACGATCGGCAACCCCATATAAATTGGGTGTCGTATCTCCACTAAATTCTGTAGGAAATTCGTTTGTAATTCTCCTTAGAATAATCTAGAAACTCCTTGGAATGGATCTCATTATTAGAGCAGTTTAAAATGACGTAACTGACCCCTAGAACTATGCCTAGCAACGTTATGTTGAGATTTTGTCTTCTAGAACATCGATGTTCAACCTGGGGTTTGCGAATCCTCACTGAACGAATAGCACATAATAAGAAGCGATGTAGAGCGAGCTTGATCACACGGTGGAGCAACTTTGAGAACCTCGAGAAAATAAGGGTCTTATTTATGCGTGAGCTGCCTAGTTTGTTAATCTCTGGTAGAAGCTCGTCCTAATTGCAAATGAAAATAATATTGTCCATAATTTCACCAGCACTCCAAACGCTGTGTCATATGACTTCCGTAGAGCTGACCATTGCAGTATCGCCCATGTGCTGTCTAACCTAGATTGGGAGCATATTCTAGATCCTGTAGACGTCAACATTACTGCACAAACCTTTTCTCACGTCTTGGCATATGTAATTGACAGACACGTTTCCAAAAAGATCATCCATATCGACTCTCGCGTCCCGTGGATGGCGAAAGATCTTCGCTCGTTGAAAAGAACTAAGAAGGCTGCTCTCAGAAGATTTACTAAACTCCGCACACTGCCACTGAAATGCTACTATGTCAGACTCAACCACGAGTATAAGCGGTTAAGTCGTCTCTGTTTTCAACGCTATCAAAGGAGGATTCAACGGCGGCTAAAATCACACCCGAAATCCTTCTGGAACTTCGTAAATGAGCAACGCAGGGAAGTCGGCTTACCCTCTTCCATGATTTTTAATGGTGAAACTGCTGGAAATCAACAAGACATTTGCAACCTGTTCTCAGCCAAATTTGCTAGTGTGTTTGAAGCCGAGCAACTCTCCGCTAATATTATTACTTCCGCGGCCAGTAATGTTCCTTTGATCAACCAAACGCTCAGCATGGTCGAAGCCATTACAGATACGATTTTTAGAGCAGCATCTAAACTTAAGACTTCAACTAAGGCTGGACCCGATGGTGTTCCGTCGATTATTCTTAAAAAGAACATCACTTGTCTTTTAGATCCACTGCGCCGCATATTCCAGCTCTCTCTTTCCAGCGGCATCTTTCCGTCTTGCTGGAAGACTGCGGATATGTTTCCTGTTCATAAAAAGGGAAGCAAACGCGACGTAAACAACTACCGGGGAATCACTTTGCTGAGTGCTGTATCAAAACTTTTTGAATTGGTTGTCATAGAGTCCCAAAATGCGCATTGCAAGTAATATCTAAGTACAGATCAACACGGATTCATAACTGGGCGTTCCACAACTACGAACCTGCTGTGCCTAACGTCTTACATCACAGACAGTTTGATTGCTCGGACCCAAACGGACGTTATCTACACAGATCTTACGGCAGCCTTCGATAAACTGAACCACGAAATTGCGATCGCTAAGCTTGATAGGCTAGGGATCGGTGGAAATCTTTTGAGATGGTTTCGTTCATACCTCACGGAGCGCCAATTGACAGTAACTTTGGGTACTTGTCGCTCAGCAAGCTTCTGCGCAAAGTCCGGTATACCTCAGGGCAGCCATCTGGGACCATTGGTATTTCTCCTCTACTTCGACGACGTTCACCATGTTATCACAGAGCCACGATTATCGTTTGCAGACGATCTGAAAGTTTTTCTGCGCATCCGCTCACTCGCCGACTGCCGTTCTCTCCAAAATCAGATTGATATCTTTGCTGACTGGTGTAGTCTAAACCGACTGGTGGTCAACCCAGCTAAGTGTACAGTTATTACTTTCTCACGCAAGAAACAACCGATTATTTTCAACTACAAACTACTAGGCACGACTATCGAACGGGTGCACTGCGTGAAAGACTTAGGCGTTTTTCTAGACTCAAAGCTGACATACTCACACCATATATCGTATGTCGTCGACAAAGCGTCCAGAACGCTTGGCTTTGTCTTCAAGATTACTAAGAACTTCACGGACATTTACTGCTTGAAATCGCTCTATTGCTCTCTCGTACGATCTACGTTGGAATACTGCTCTGCTGTCTGGAGCCCGAATTACAATAATGGGGCCGAGCGACGTTTTCTTCGCTTCGCGCTCCGTAAGCTGCCTTGGAGATACCCACTTCGTCTTCCAAGCTACGAGAATCGCTGCCAATTGATCAATATCGAGCCCTTACGTATCCGAAGAGATGTTTTCAGAGCCTTAACCGTCGCCGATACTCTGCAAGGAAGAATCGACTGCGAAGAAATTCTGCAACAAGTGAACATTAATGTTCAACCTCGATCAGTACGCAACAGTCTTATGCTGAGACTTCCACTTCTTCGAACTAGTTATAGCATAGGGAGCGCTATTTACGGCTTGCAGCTAGTGTTCAACCGAGTAGCGTCGATGTTCGATTTCCACTTGACACGGAATATGCTTCGCCGAAGATTCTCTGCCTTTTTTGCTGACCGAAGGCGCTTGATGCCCAACAGCTAAGTGTAAAATTTAAGACTTATAAATTTTTAGTAACTTGACAATGCTTTCCTAGTTATTTTCGTTTGTAACTGTAGTAACTGTAGTATATGTATGTCGTCTGTATAATCTGTACTTTTTTTACAACACATCATTGGGACTAATGCTAGTCTGTTGATGCAACCATAACAAATAAACAAATAAACAATATGCAATACATTATCTTATAACTCTTTTGAGAACTACTAACTTCGGAAATTTCCGCTCAGAATTCAATTCCCTTGATAATTTTCGCGGATCCTGAATTTCTTTTCACAATCTTCATGGAATTTTTCACAGAACATCTTAACAATTCTACTCTGTTATCACACAATTGCCTTCCGATTCTTGTTAAAACTGGCGGTAAGCTTCAACTTGCACTAGCTTTTAATATCGACCCTGTTTGGATGATCTGTCGAATGTTTGCTTAGAGTTGGACATTCATGATCGGGATTTAATCCGAGGATTTTTTTCCTTGATTTGTTTTCCGTCGATCTTGTTTTCCGTACTGAACACCAATGCTACCGACGCCAGGGAGGCAGCTCCCACACCTGGACCCTACCTATCGGCCCATCAACTCATGAACCGGGGACCAACGGATTTACGTCCCTTCCGAAGGAAGGCGTGATCAGAGATGTTTTGCCTCAGAACATCCCGGCGGCGCCGACTGGGAGTGAACCCAGGCCTGCTGGGGTGAGAGGTAATCACGCTTACCACTACACCACCGTCGCCGTTGGCTTTTGATGATAAAAATGGCACTGGACTAGGCAAGTTCTCCCAGCAGCAAATCTCTCCAAATGACAGGCTCATGGCGAATCGAGCGTAATACGACAACTGAACCATCACTCTGGGACTCCGTTTACAGGAGCGGCGTAGTCAGTCGATTCCCGTTCCATCGGAGGACAGCACATTGGTTTGCAGACAATTAAGAATTCGTGGAAATTAATGACTATTTCCTGGGAACGGAAGTGCGACCGGTTATGTGCACTGAGATCAGCTACCAAAGAATGCCGAATTTATGAGAACAAGGGGCGGATTTCGGTGGCGGTGGACAGCAAGATCATCAAGGAATGACTTGCCTCTAGTTTGAAATCCATTTTTGATAGAGATCTCCAAGCGCAATCTAACGAACACTAAAATCCAACATCCATTAATAAGAATGAAGAATAAGAAGAAACAAAAAGGTATCGCGATATCACAACTACTTAAAAAGGTAGCGCGCGGTCTCACGCACACTTTTGTGCATCTGGAGAACTCTATTAAACGTATGTCAAATGTACACTTAAAACCAAAAATAGTCAAAAACAATAAAACAATTGTCAGACTAAGTGTAAGATTCGCAAATATCACACATATTAAAATACTTAATATTTCCACCATCGGTTTTGATGCTGATACTTGGAGCTGTCCTTCCCCTAGATAAAAGACCAATATTTTGGTTAAAAATCTATAATATTAATTGCCAAACAAACTTTGAAAGAATTTGATTGAGGCTGGTTGACGTCAGAGAAAAAGTTGTAGCAAAAAAATTAAGACAGTTTTAGCACAGACAAACAGACATAACTCTCAAAAGTTGTTCATCAAACAAGCATTTAACGGTCAATTTAAAACTATCTCAGTTGGTAGTACTGCCACCTGTAGCGCGCATAGTCTTTTCCCTTACGTTTGACGTTTACACACTACCGCCATCTATTCAGCGTACTACCCACCACAGAGTACTCAACAGATGGTGGTAATGTTTTAGCGACGATGTTTTACAATGAGAAATATTCAATGTTTTATGTCTGTTTGTCTGGTTTTAGTTAAGAATTAATGACCAAAACTTAAATAAGTTTTGGACAACTTTTAGAACTTTTTGTTTATACAAATTCATGTGAAATTGGAAAACAATTTTGAAAGTCTGAAAATTAGTTCTCTCTGCAAAATTTCACAAAGTCGGCGCCGTCGGAATTTT